TCTCCGCTAAAATGTGATCTGGACAATCTCGCAGCTTCGCGGCGTGCTTGTGGAATTCACACGTGTATTCGCGAACTGAATTCCGGTTCTGCCGGTAGGTACGCAGGAACGCTCTTGCTCTTTGGCTCGCGTTGACATCCTCAAATCTAGCCCGGAGCGCCCACATGAATGCGCGTAAATTGAAGAGTTCCGGACCGCGGTCATTGTGCAGCCCAACATACCATGTGGCGGCGTCTCCTTTCAATCTTGCTGAGATGACATCGATTAGCGCTCCCTCATCACGGAATAAGTGCCGGCTCTCCGCAACGAACTTTTGAACTCGCACCGTGAAATAAGCGAGGTCATCCGGGTTGCCGTCAAAGGTAGCTTCCAGGAGATCTTTAGGTCGAGGTCGCGGAGCTCTCATCGCAGGGCCCAGCGGTGCCTGACCCCCCATGAGAGGAGGGCCCGGGACCGCTGGTGGGCCCCGCAGTGGCACCATCGGCGGCGGTAGACCAGGTCCCGGAGGCCTTTGCGGACCCCCCGGCGGTGGCGGCAGTGCACGCACTCCCGGAACAGGTGGCGCTTGTGGAGGTGGTAGCAGTGGCGGCGGAGCATGCAGAGGTGGCGCGGGTGGTCCCTGTGCAGGTGGAACTTGCGGTTGCGGGGCATAATCTGCCAGGAAATTAGTCATTCGAATGTCCATCATCCCCGGCAACGCTTCCATCACATCGTGGACCGTTCGCATCAGATCTCTCACCGATTGTTCCAGCTCCTCCAGCTGTTCCCTTGTCGTCTCTTCCGGGATCGGCTCCCGTGGTTGGTATTCAGGAGGCGGCCCATAGTCTCCCTTCGTCTGGCAGTCCGCGGCTCCCTCCGAGGATCCTGCACGGGCTCCCTCCCCCAACGGCTCAAACATCCAGTCTTCCACGTCTCTCCGATAACTTCCAGTCTCCCCCGAACTCCCGGAGTCGGGAAACATTCCCTTGTCAAAAAGACTTTCTCGAAGCCCACTGCCTCGACGGGAGTACACCTCCCGGGTGCCTTGGGTGTTGTACAAAGGCCAATCATCCTGTGCTGGTGTCTTCCGCGCACCCCAATTCGAAGGGGTTGGAGGCGGCCAAGACAGGTAGGCAGGTAGTCGGGGAATCGCTCCCCCCACAGCACCTTCCCCTGGTGCGGTAGTTGTAACGATCAAAGGTGCGGAGGTAGATGGGACCGATCCCGTGTCCCCCTCCGTGGTAGGTGGGTTTCCCTCAGACCCGCTCATGGTCTCGCCAGAATCGGGACGATAGGAAAAAAAAAAAAGAGTTCTAACAATATGTTGGATCCCCAAGCATCGAGAATAAATCCACGTTTCAAAGAAAGCAAAGTTTATTTCAAAGCATTGGAAAGATACTCAAACACGTTCCTTGTTAGAACTGGGTACAAGCAGTTAGGGCAGACATGATAAAGGGATTCAAGTTAGATACATAACCAATGGATAATGTTCCCGCTGGCGGGCAGGAGAAAACGGTTGCGCGCTCAGGTCCTGGGAACCAGGCGAACAGTAGACATAACACAGGTGCAGTTCTCAGGCTTGATAAATAACAAGCTAGCAGCGAAGCATACTCTCCCCCTCACATCCTCCAGTTGTTTTACTTTGGCATTACAGCAGGAAAACACAAAGGCCAGCTGGCAGGGACAGGGATCACATATGTACAACCAGAAGTCACACAGAACACCATGGCAGCTTGCTGACAACCAGTTTACAATTAAAGTGCTCACAGCGTCATTAAGTCAGGATAGTTACAGCTACAGGTGGAAGTTCTGACCCATTCACACCAGTGGATATGGCCCCGGTGGCTGGATGGCCCAGCAGGTCGGAGAGGGCAGCCTCGGGGAGGCCATAGGCGGAAGAGACAGGCGCCTTCTCCAAGCTGGCTGGGGGAGGGGGGGCGGGACTTTGAGAATGCATTTAAAGAGAGAGTTGCTTTCTTTCTCTGCTCCCCCACCCCCTCAAGCCTACCCAGGGAGGGGAACCCTGGCTGGGGAAGGGAAGATGGATCGGGGGAGGCAGGCCCTCCCCTTCGCCTCCCCAGCCGCCCTGCTGGGAGCCCCACGATAGGTGCGAAAGGGCCGCATGTGGCTCCCGAGGGACAGTTTGGCCCCCCCCTTCATTCTTGGCAGGAAGGGGACAGTTCAGGCCGCCGTCCCTTCCGTTTCTGTAGGTTTGGCCGGCCGCGACACAGGGCTCCTCCCAGCACGTCTTTCCCTCTGGGGGGGGGATATGTTTGAGTGCAGCCCTGCTGCGATCTCAGACACACACACACACCCGGGAGCCTCTCAGGAGCACCCCCTGCCACTGCCTCTCTCCTCCCGCCCTGCCTCTCCTCTCCTCTCCGCTCCGTGCAGGAAGCCGAGAGCAACCCGCAGTGCCGCCGCCTACAGCTGAAAGACCTGCTCATCTCGGAGATGCAGCGCCTGACCAAGTACCCTCTCCTGCTGGAGAACATCATCAAGCACACCCCTGGTAGGTGGGCGGAGGGGTGCCAGCGCCCGTGGGCGGGGGGGGGGCCTCCCTCCAGCCCAGGATCCTGACCCATGCTCCCTCTAAGCTTTGGAGTCTTGTGAGCAAGAATTCTACTTTCTGAGCTACCGTCATTAAAGTTGGGAGTGAGCTATAAGCTAGTTTGCTCACTCCCTCGGCTTCCTCGGCTAAGAAAAAAAATGTGGAGGCCAGAGGCTAAAAAACTGTGGGTTAGCTCACACTAACGCAGCTTAGAGGGAACACTGGCTGCAATGCTCCCTCTAAGCTTTGGAGTCTTGTGAGCAAGAATTCTACTTTCTGAGCTACCGTCATTAAAGTTGGGAGTGAGCTATAAGCTAGTTTGCTCACTCCCTCGGCTTCCTCGGCTAAGACAAAAAATGTGGAAGCCAGAGGCTAAAAAGCTGTGAGCTAGCTCACGCTCAGGCAGCTTAGAGGGAACGCTGACCCCGACCCCTCTTCCCCTTGGCCGCCTCGTGCAGGGGAGACTGTGGAACACCAGAAGCTGTGCCGGGCCCGCGACCAGTGCCGGGAGACCCTGAGGCACGTGAACGAGGCGGTGAGGCGGGCCGAGAATCAGCACCGCCTGGAGGCCTACCAGAAGCGCCTGGATGCCACCTCGTTGGAGCGCAGCAGCAACCCCTTGGCCGCCGAGTTCAAGGTACGGCCGAGCCGAGCCGGGGGGGGGGTCCCTTTCCCCATCCTCCCCACCCCCTCCCTGTGCTCCTGCCCCCTTCCAACGTGCCGCCTTCTCTGGCTCTCCTGCCCAGAACCTGGACCTCCGAAGTCGGTGCATGATCCACGAGGGGCCGCTGAACTGGCGCATCAGCAAAGACAAGACTGTGGGTGTGTAGCTTGGTCTCCCCTGCCTGTCCTGCCCTGTTTGGGTTTCTTCGTCAATACAGAGGCAAGAAGTCTCAGCCCAGGATCTCCACCCTGTGTGGTCGATCAGGGTGGGGAATGTGCGGCCAGGAAAGGGCGCCCAGCCAAGGGGGGCTGACGGCTGCTTTCTCTCTCTCCTGGGCCCCCCTTAGAGCTGCACGTCTTGCTGCTCGAGGACCTTCTGGTGCTCCTTCAGAGGCAGGACGAGAGGCTGGTGCTGAAGTGCCACAGCAAGACGGACACCAAGCAGACCTTCAGCCCGGTCCTCAAGCTCAACTCTGTCCTCATTCGCTCAGTGGCCACAGGTAAGCCACGGAGGCCTGAGCCCTGGAATGCCGGGCTTCTGAGTCTGCACGGGGCAGGCTGGGGGGGAGTCCAGAATCCAGTGGGGGGTCTCTGTGTGCAAAGCAGGGACTTTTGCCTCCTGGTGTGCAAAGAAAGCTCCCCAGGGGCTGGCTGCTGTAGAGCATCCCTCTGCTGCTGTGGCCCTGCCCGTCCCGGGGGACTCCCATCCCATTCCCTGCCTGTCGCCTGTCGTTCCATGACTGGGTTCAAAGGCAACAAACAGACCGCGGAGTCTGCAGGAGGGAACCCTTTCCAGGGCCCTTGATGGGCAAGAAGAAGAGGGTTGGCTCACCAGTGCCGGACTGGCACCTCCCTGGTGTTGAAGCCAAAAACGAGAGATCACGGGAGGAAGTGGAATCCCAAAAACAACATCCGTGACAAAAACAATGAAGAGTCAATAAAGATAAGTTGCAAAAACGTTTACTGTAGTAATTTCTGTAGAAAATTTTCTTCTGTTATCGTTCACATGCTAACGAATACTGCGCAGTGAGCAATTCGTTTCACAATATTTGCTTTATCTGAGCATGTAGCAATCCCAATTCTTATCAATTACTACTTATCAGCTCTTGAAGGAAACATTCCGTGTGGATTCTCTAATAACAGAACCGAAGGTCTTCAATGTTTCCTTCAAGAGTTGATAAGTAGTAATTGATTAGAACTGGGATTGCTACACGCTCAGATAAAGCAAATATTGTGAAACGGATTGTTCATTGCGCAGTATTCGCTAGCATGTGAGCGATAATAGAAGAAAATTTTCTACAGAAATTGCTACAGTAAACGTTTTTGCAACTTATCTTTATTGACTCTTTGTTATTTTTGTCACGGATGTTGTTTTTGGGATTCCACCTCCCTGGTGTTGGCAGCCCGTGTTTGGCCAGGCAGGGACAAAAATACGTGGCCCGCAGGAGCGAGGCTGACTGGATGGCCGTGTTCTAGTGAGCGCAGGAGGAGGGCTCGTCAGCCTCACCACCCGCCATCTCGGGGCCTGAGCAGGCATGCATGGGGGGAATTGGATCTGAATCCCCAAGGCTGGACTCTGGTACGTTTCTAAATCAGAAAAAAACACATGTCTGGAAGTAAATTCTGGCCTGAACGCCCCCTAGAAGTTAAATTGACCAAACTGAGGGTATCGTACTTTGGTCACATTGTGAGAAAAGAGTCACTGGGAAAGAGGACAATGCTAGGAACCGTGGAAGGCAGCAGGAGAAAAGGAAGACCGGCCAGAAAATGATCTGACTCGAAGCCACAAAGAGCCCTCAGCCTGCAAGGCCTGAGCAAGACTGTCAGTGGTAGGGTGGCTTGGAGGACATTAATTCACCGGGTCACTCTAAGCTGGAAGCAGCTTAATGTCTCTGTCTCTCTCTGTCTCTGTCTCTCGCTGTCTCTGTCTCTCTCTGTCTGTCTCTCTGTCTCTCTCTGTCTCTCTCTCTGTTTGTCTCTCTCTCTCTGTTTGTCTCTCTCTCTCTCTCTCTCTCTCTCTCTCTCTCTCTCACACACACACACACACACACATTCTGGCCTCCTCCTTTCTCCCCCAGTTCAGCCTCTCTGCTGACATGTTGTCAGTTTAAAAGAAAGGCCTTGGGAGAGGGGGAGTTTCTTATCCTCTCCTCCTCCCCCCCCCAGATAAGAGAGCCCTCTTCATCATCTGCACCTCGGAGTTAGGGCCCCAGATCTACGAGCTGGTAGCTCTGACCTCGTCGGAGAAGAACACGTAAGTCGTTGGGCGGCAGCGGAGTGAGGAAGGGAACTCGGGTGACGGCAACCTCACAACATGGGGAAGAAAGCAGAGGATGCTGGGAAAGAGACGGGCAGAGGAGGGCGGAGGCCAGGGGAGGGGAACGGCCCGTGTCCAGAGGCCTCGGAGCAAGCCGCCGGGTGCCTGGGAGGGCAGACGGGGCGGGCAGGTGGCCCTCTTGGTCCTTTGGACAAGGCACTGAATGGGCACCGGCGCCCCGTGCCTGTCTCCCGGTTTGGGTCCCTGCTGCTGGAACCAGCCCAAGGAGAAGCGGCCAAGTCCTGGCTCGGGGCTTTTATGGTCTCCCCCCCCCCCCGGGGGTGTTTGGCAGGTGGATGGAGCTGCTGGACGAGGCGGTGAAGAGCACCCTGCGGAACGCCACTTTCCCTCCCAAGCACTGCTCCCAGGAGCTGCCTCGGCCCCACCCAGCACCGGCCAGGTGAGGAAGAAGACGGCCTTTCCCCCCCAGGGGAGGAGAGATGCAGGGGGCGGGGCTAGAGGAAGGGGGGGGGAGAAGCTCTCAAGTACAACCCCCTCTGCTCTCTTGTTCCAGCTGGCACAGAGAGCCAGACCAGCCCTCCCCACCCCACCCTCGTGGGCAGCCCCCAACCCCCTTTCTGAAGAGAAAGAAGCCCTTTCCAAGACTGCCAGGATGGCGTGGTGTCCTTGGCAGGAGTTGGTGACTGGCGTGGGGTCGTGGTTAAGAGTGGTGGCCTCTGATCTGGAGAGCCGGGCTTGATCCCCCCCCCCTCCTGAAGGCATCTGGGGGACCTGGGGCCAGTCCCGGTTCTCCCTCTCAGAGCTCTCTCAGCCCCCGCCTGCCTCACAGGGTGCCTGTTGTGGGGAGAGGAAGAGAAGGAGACTGTGAGTGGTTTTGAGACGCCTTAAGGTAGAGGGAGACTGGGCATACAGACCTGCTCTTCCTCGTCCCCAAACTGGGTCCCTGGCCAGCTCGGAGTTTGTATCGCTTCTGTATGGCTCACATCGTAACGTGTGCAGACCCTTCCTCAAGCACGCCATGCATCCAGTCCACCCCCAGAGCCGTCAGTGAGGTGCTTTGGACACCAGGGTGGGTCCAGGGCGGAGGGGCCCCCTCCTTCTTCCTGGAGCCTCCCCCAGCGTGGCTGTCGGGGGGGGGGGAACCCGACCCTCCCGCTTTGGATGGGTGGGGGGCTTCCCCCTTTCCACCTGTCCTTTGACATCTTTTCCCTCCCTCTGCAGTGTGGTGCTCCAGGAGGCAGACATCCCCCCAAGCCTGACCCACGGAGATGGGGCTTCCAGCCAAGAAGCCGAAGAAGAGGCCGCTTCAGGTGAGCGGCCGAGCGTTGAGCTGGGGGTTTTGTAGCCGTGGACGAGGCCGAGAGGCGGCGAAGCCTGAGGCGTTGCTGGGAAGGCCCCTCCCTTCCACAAGCAGCGATGGGCACCGGCCGTGGTCTCGAGGGCTGCCTTCTCGGCTGACCGCAAACGCTCTGTGGGTAGTCAGCCGGTCCCTGTGGATAGTCAGGGGGTGCCGTCTGGCAGGGTGGCGGGCAGGGCCTGTGGCTCAGTCCCTCTCTCCACTCCTCCTTTCCCCCGCAGATGAGACCCCCACGGAGGCCACGGACATAGAGGCCCACCCGGTGCTGCTGGGAGGACCCGAGGCTGAAGACAGCCAGGAGGAGGAGGCAGAGGAGGAGGAGGAGGAGGAGGAGGAGGAAGAGTTGCAGCCGGTCGCAGTGGGAGGCGAGGGGGTTCCTTCCGAGGAGGAGGAGGAGGAGCCAGGGCTGGGCAGGCCTCCGGAGCCCCTGCCAGCCCCTGCCTCGGTGGCGAGCTTGGCCGAGTCGGCCTTGGAGGACGGTGAGCACCTGCCCGGCTGCCCTCTCGGTCCCTCCCTTCTTGCAGCGCCGTACTGGCTGCTGTCGGCTGTTTACGGGCGGGGGAGATTTCCGCACAGGCTGCTGAGGGAGGGCTGGGTGAGGGAGGTGCTTGCGAGGGCAGCGGCCAGAAGTCCCCGGATCCCTCCCGTCTGGTGGTGGGTCTCCCTGGACGATTCCAGGGGGCCTGCTGGTGGACCTCCCGATGGCCCTTGGGTTTGGGCCCCTGGCCTGATCCAACATGGCTTTTCTGACATTCTTGTGGACCGCGGGGGCTTCCTGCCTGCCGAGGGGTGCATGGGACACGACAGGGAAGTGAGGAATGGAGTAGTAAGGAAACGCCCGAAGACGTGGGGAGGACCCCCTCAGTGGATTCCCCCCCCCTCCCATTGTGTGTGTGTGTTTCCTTGTCTGCAGTGGAAACCCTGCGCCACCTCCTCCTGCGGAAGCTCCTGGCCAGCCGAGACCCCGACGAGGACTTGACCCCGACCCCATCCGTGGCCCAGCAGGAGGACTCAGGAAGTCAGGGGCAGGCCGTGGAGAGCCGTGACCCCTGTCTGCCACGTGGCTGTCTGCCGGTGGACTCTGAGCTGGGCGGCACCGGTCCCGACGCGCCAGGGGAGCAGGGCACGGAGCCCGCGGAGGAGGCAGAGGCCGGCACGACAGACTCGCCCGTCGGTCAGGCTGGCTCCCCGGAGGCAGAGGTGCCCGTGGCTACGGAAGGACAGGGCAGCTTCCGAGTCGTGCGGAAAGGTAGGGGGGACGGGGGCTGACCCGCCGGAGCGGCTGGACTCCTGCATCTTCCCCGTGTCCCGGAGTGGGGAGGGGGGGGGGTTCTTGGCAAGGAACCGATCCAGCCCGCCTTTGGTTCTCTCCGGATGTAAGGAAAGAAACGGATTTCTCCCTGCCCACGACTTCCTGTCTCCAAACAACCAAAGGGTCCTGGCCAGTGTTCCCTCTAAGCTGAGTTGGTGTGAGCCAGCTCACTTTTTTTTAGCCTCCGGCTCACACATTTTTGTCTCGGCTCAGTTAGGAGGGCTCCCAGAGCAAACCAGTTTACGCAGGAGCCAAATGGCTCGCTCGCAACTTCAATGCCAGCAGCTCACAAAGGAGAATTTTTGCTCACAGGACTCTCCACAGCTCAGAGGGAGCCTGGGTCCTGGTGCCCCTTAAAGACTAACCGCTGCTGCCTGGTGGCCCCTGCTGCTGCCGCTGCCACCTAACACAGCTCCCCCTCTGGGCTCAGACTAGGTAGGGGGCAGGGAAGGCTGAGTCAGGATTTGAACCCGAGTCTGCCGCCATCACCCCCCTTCCCCTTCTGCCGCTTCTGCTCCACTTTTCCTTGGCCTGCCGTTCTCTGGGCATTTTGCACCTCAGCCACTTCGCTCGGCACGCCGACCTTTCCCCTCTCTCTCGCTCCGGGCTCTCGCTCGCCCTCTGTGGGTGCTCTCTGTGGGTGCTGGCCACGCCCGCCGTTTGGGTGCTGATCGTGACTCTTCCCTCTCTCTCTCTCCCCGTCTCTCTGTCTCCCTCCC